TTGGAACCCCCTTTTGGGGGAAACCGGAGTTTTTTTTGGGGGGGGGGGAAAAACCACCCCAAAAGGGTTTGGCCTTTGGCCCTTTTCACCTTAAAGCCCATTATTCCGGGGGGCCTAAACCCTGGTTCCCAAATTATTGGGTGAAACAAAAGGGGGTTGCCCCCCCCCCCCCCCCCCCCCGCCCCCCTCATTTCTGCGTACTGTGTCCTCATGTCTCTGTCCACATCTCGACTGCAACAACACAGAAAATATGCAAACGAGCAGAAAGCAGAGATGATTTTCTGTTGAGACACAGGAAGAACGGCACACAGTGGCCACCGAAGATAGGTTTCACCCAGTTGGTTCTACGGAGCAAGGCAAGGCGTGTGCCGACAAGTTGTCCTCTTCTTCTTCTTGTACGATCGGTGTGTGAGTGATGCCTGTGTGGTGTGTATGTACGCACCAAAAGGTATTGCACACCCGGGGGCGGGGGGGTAGGGGCCGACCGTCGCGATGAGCACGTATCACGAGTTCAGTGTGAAGAAAACACGAAAGGTCGCATCACGACCGCCGCTACTGCCGTTGCCGACGAGTTGAGACTCACGATACTGGGACACACGACTATACAGGTGATGACTGTTACATGGTGATGGAGGTTTTAAAAGCGAATGGCCGTGCAGACAGTAAATGTTCAGTTTGCAACTCTGAAACGTGGGCAAGTTGACGGGCCAGAGACTTCACACATATTCACCTACCCATTGCCATCAAAGACCGAAATCGGTGGACCCTCACACTCTTTATGTCGCGGTGCATCATGGAGCCGATGCCAGACCCTCCGTGCACGTACTCCAGGGCTTGCGCAAGCTCCAGGGCCCGGTGCAATCGGCTGACCCCGAACAAGACGCCGAACAAAACAACACCAGGGCGCACGAGAGGCCATTCGAAACATATTAAAACCGACTTCCGATCACATAACAGTTCGCAAAACCACGGGTACCACAACGTGCGTAGATGGTGCTGACCGCTGCTGGACACGGTACGTTTGACTAGTCCATCTACCATCCAATCGCGTGCTTGTGAAGCTTCGTAAATAAATGCTTCCAGCAGTAGTCTAGAAACACATTTCGAAAAAACTACTGCACACATGTTTTGTTCGCGACGAAACCTACCAACGAAAAGGAACCATCTTCATCTTCCGCGACCGAGCCATTGCGGTTTTGAGGTTCTTCTCCACGGAGTAGGTCGTACCAAAGAGGTGCCCCACGGTACCGAAAGCCAGCTGCTCTAGCAGGAGGCAGACATCTCTCTCGTTCCAGTCGTCGTAGCCTTCGCGACACCTCACGCGACTTTGTTGTCGGGGGGGGGGGGGGGGAGCAAGGGGATGAAGGTGGGAGGTGGGGTCAGTTGTACACAACTTCGTGCAGGGGGACACCGTCCTCGCCACGGCCGCTCGGGAGATTACCGGTGGTAGACAAGAGTCTTGTCGGGCCTCCCGAAAGTTATACCCGCCGGCGAAATACCCCTAGCCTAATCCCCAACACGGGTAATTTATCGGACAGCCCCACCCGCGCGCTTGCCGTTCCTGTTGCGCCGTGCGCGTGTGGTGGGTGGGTGCAATGCGTACGTGGTCGTGACTCTCACCACATGCCGTAGGCTTCGATAACGTTGGGGTGCTGCAGAGGCTGCAGGCAGTCATACTCCTGCCAGAGGTTCTCGAGGGCCTTCCTTCGCTCCGGGAGGGGCAGGTCTTCTCGCACGCGCTTGGCTACCACGCTGAACCCTCGGTACTTGCACGCGAACACGGCGCAGAAGGCGCCGTGGGCGATGAACTGCTCTGACGCGATATGTTTTTCGTTCGTTGTCAGTCCGTCATCGGAAAAGACGCGGACGGCGGAGAGAGAGAACGGGGGCACCATGAGCTTTGGTATTCAAGAAGAGTACGGCAGTAAATAGTGGCTTCAGACGTACACCCCCACCGCCGGGTCGAAGTGTGGAAATAAGACTTGTGACTTTGTCAAGGACACACCAAGCAGGCGTTCAACATGAAACGGCAGAGCGAGGCTTTATCCGGCGTATTTTAGCTACATACGTTCCATCTAATCACCACTAAACACATACCATGGTGTATGCAAGGTCTTCTTCCATGTCTGCTACATAGCATACCTTCATGCTCCCGAGCTCAACGACAGGAAGGCTAGCGATTTCACGCTCCGCCCCCGGCGCTTTCAAGGCAGGCCCTCTTCCCCTAGCAGCACTCGTGGTTGCTGCCGCCGCTGCTGCCGCCGTCTTGGTCTCCGTCCTCTTCTTGGTCGTCGTCGTCTTTCGGCTCTTGAGAATCTCTGGAGCGCCAATATCGTCCTCTACTTGCACCGATCCCGCGGTTGTTGTCGTCGTTGTCGTTCGTCCGTTAACCGGCCCCGTTCTTGTTGTCGGTGGTGGTGCTGACGATGCTGGGTGGGTTGACGTTGGTGCCGGAATTCTCTCTTCCTGCGCGCGCGTGTCGCCGCCACCACTTGGCCTTCCCGTAGCCGACTCAGCCGTCGCGCACAACGAAGACGGGCGTCCATCGCGGGAATGAAACGCATGCCCCGTCCATAGATCCGGGCTCGGCTCTCCCGGATACCAGGCAGGGCCCTTCGAAGAAGGCGACGAAGAAGCGGTCCCCATGGGCCGACCAACCTGCTGTAGGTTGGGTACCCATGGCGCCGTGCCGTGACGGTGCGTGCATGTAGGAAGTTGTTGCGAGATCAAGCACGGAGGAGGGGCGGGATATTCTAGGCGCAACCCTAGCGGCGCACGAAGACTGGCTTTCGTAAAAACCGTCGTGTTCAGCTGGGGTACAACATGCCTGGGAAGACTTTTGGTCACTTCAACGGCGTTTTGTTTGTGGTTCGCGGGCGGTGGGCTAAACGAGGGTGGATGCACATACATGCGGGATGTCACGCTCGCCTAACTAACCATCGTCGTGTTCTCTGACCCCCTCCCCCCCCTACACTCGCGAATCCTACCGCTGGCATGTTGGCGGGATTCAACAAGGAAACGATTTCGCTCCATTGAGAGCCCTCACGAGAGAAATTCTTGCGCGTGGTACCTTCTGCTACAGCTGCTCGAGTAGCTTCTCTCGATTAAGGGGGACGCGTCCGCGACTGCCAGTTTGGCGCTTTTACAGACAGAGCCGTGTGGGACCAACGCAATAAAATAACGGTACAGTAGTTATGGTCGTTTGTCGTGTTGCAAAGTCCGCAGGTTACGACTTAATGAGTACAAGGCTTGACTCATTTAAACAAGTGTACCACGATGGGGTGGCGCCCCGATGATTCCTTCTACAGTACTTACCGCAAATAAATGGCACCCGTTCATCGGCTATCGATATACCCTATCGGTGTTGTTTTGGCACAACGCGATGGGCGCAGAAAATCGAAGTACGCATGCATGCATAAATCTTGCCGTTTCTTTGGTTTCGTTCGCACCCTGTTCGATGCGTGCAAACCCCGCCATGGGTACCATCACTCATGCGTACTTCCTCCCACCCACGTCCCATGGCTAATGAGCCTTGTACGCACGAGACCCAGCCGGCGGGGTAAGGGGGTGTTGTCAGGAACAAGAACCCCCCCCCCCCGCTGTGGTGGTAGCGGCAGACGCGTTTTGAAAATTTTTACTAGGCGTGAAGGGCCGTCAAAAGTACCCGCATCGAGAAGAAAATCAAGTAGATAAGATGAATTTGCTAGCGTGTCTACTTGTGTGCGTGAAAAAGTGACAGCTACAGCAGCAGCAGTAGTTTTCATGAACACTCCGCCCTCTGCGAGTGGTTGCACACCTGGGGCGGAAAACAAAATCGCGAAGCAACACAGATAGAATGAAGGAATATGGTGAAACAACGGAGCCCCATTGCAACGTCCTCAGAAGAACTGGCTGCCCTCGTTGCGGAACCCTACTAACAGACCAAGCACACGAGACTTACCGCTGAGCCCGGTACATATCGTGATTCCGCGGTGCGGTTCACCAACGTCGAAAGAGTGACATAGATACGAAAACAAGACACCGGCAAAAACGGACGGACTGACCGGGTCATTCATTGACCCGCCGCAGAGGTGAGATCAAGTTTGTTTTTGCGGTCGGTGTGTGATCATACGAGCACGTACGTGCTCGAGAACAGGTAGAGAGTGTGCCGTGTGCCATCAAAAAAAGGGGGAACACCAATCAATCAATACTATATGTAGTACTGGCGCCCCCAACTCCTTGCACGTACAACATGTATGTCATGTACAGCAAGCAGTACATCGTGTTCGCCGAGTGTTTGTTCAGCGGATCAACATGTACGTCACTCACGCACATACAACATTGATCGGCCTTTTTCGGCTGCGGGCGCGCTCTTTGTCGCGCCGTGCATGACTCCGTCTGCAACGAAGTGCCTACCTACATACATACGTCCGTGTTTCGGCAGCAATAAAGTTTGCATCACTGACAAGTGCGAATCATGTGGCGATACCACACCCGCACCCACGCAACCAATCAAATGCCAGAAGAGATGGACGGTAGCATGAGTCGGATGTTACACGTGATGTTGGAAGATCAGATCGATCGCCATTCGCTCACCACGCACGCTCGGTCCGCGCGCGCCTGTGTGACACTACAAAATTGCGTATTATAACTGCTGTGGGCTCATGCATGTAGAGCGCATCTTCCTCACCTTTCCGACACGGAATCGCTCCTCTCGCCCGCTGGTTCGATATTGAGAATGCCGGTGCGCATGAACAAGGATGAAGTGCAGCAGAATCGGAGGTGCAAGTCGGATACATGTGCCGGCTTCACACAACGCCTACAAGTAAGTAAGAACAAGCCCGGCAGATAGGAAGAAGATCGTTTTATCTTCGGGTAAAATACACACACACAGAACAAAAGTTTCTCCTCTCGGGTAGCTGTTGTTTGTCCGTGACCATTTGGACGTAACTTTCACCACCCACAGGGGGGTGAACCATTATTTGCCAAGTTTTAAATCGTGACCATTTGGACGAAACTTTCACCACCGACAGGGGGGTGAAAAATTATTTGCCAAGTTTTAAATAGCCCGGGTACACAACAAGACGCTATGCATGCCGTCTTTGTCCACTGCTGGACAGATTCACTCAAAGTGTCTGGTGTGACAAAACTGCGTACTTTCGCCACCGTCCGTAAGTCCCTGTTGAGTTCATTCCCCCGCCTTTCGGCGTGGGTTTCCGCCTCTCCCCCCCGCAAGCTATTTGTGCCGGAGAAATCTGACGAGGCCCAGTGTACGTACAAGCTCTTCGCCGGCGTGGGATGCATCTCACACGGTATCTACTGCTGTAACATGAAACCAACAACAACCCGCCCTCGCGCGCGACTCCTCATTGGTCGTTGAGCCGCTGGCGCTGTGCTCCGCAGCTACAACCTGGCGCTATGGAGGTTAAGGTTCGCATTCCATCATGTGAATTCCGTTCGCGGTTTACGCTACGAGGAACACGAAACCAAACACAACCAACCAAGAATAAATGAGGCTACTTTGCTACCAGGTATTTGTCATCATTCATTCATGTTCATCTATTTATGATTTCCGCCTTCACTTCCTCATAAATAAAGCGTGAAGGCTATTTATTCTTCGGCAGTTGGTTCCACTCCCTCGAGCGCAAGCACACAAACTTCCCGCGCGGACAGGCGCGTTCTACAGATGATCAAAACTCGAAAACAAACAAGCACAAGAAAACCTTGTGCGTGTGACAAGAAGAGACAATGACAAACCCGTAACAATCAAATGGCAGGAACCCATCCATCCGCGAAAAATCACCGCAGGACAAAAAAAACGACCACAAACAACTTTTCCCAAGGTGCAGTCGGGCGAGAGAGCGGGCCATCAGCAATCAATGAACCCTCGCCCCCCGTTACCCCCCGGAAAAGACATGCATTGGATACCACCGACTCCAAGGAGAACGCTGAAAATGCAGTCCATCGCATGAGCACGCACGCACACGCACTGTTGTAAGACCGGCCCTGGCTGGCGTCTTTTGATTGGTCAACAACCAACCGGGTAGCGCGGTCGATGCTGAGAATTAAAGACACAAGTACTTTGCACCAAAAAAATGACAACTTAAAACGGAAAACAAACGCACAGCAGTATGATACGGCGGCCATGTCTTGCGGCCCAACCATCCGGCAACTCCACACGACCCCCCGCATAAAAAAAACGTGGAAAATCGGATACAACACATCATCAGTCACAGCAAGGCGAGACGGACACAAATCACAACAGCAGTCTGTCACAACCAAAGACCCAACACAACCAAAAAACCCCCAACAGACCCCTGCCGGAGAATGAACAGCGAGGATGTAACGCCGACGTCTTTCGCCTCTCTACTCCTCGCGAGCGCGCAGTCAGAGAGGGGGCGCGCAGTCAGAGAGGGGGGCATTTGGTCAACCAACAACAGCCTTCCCGGCTGACTCGAAAGGACACGACGGCAGCCACCAGACCGATCGGCACGCAGACCCTGTGCCCCCCCCCCCCCCCCCCGCCCCCCCCATAACCTTTTTTTCCCCCTTTCCCCCCTCCCTCCCCCCCCCCTTTCCCTCGCTTGGGCCTGGCCTCCCCCCCCCCCCTCCCGGCGGCCTTTTTTTTCTGCGTCCCCCCCCCTCCGGGGGGCCCGGGGGGGGGGGGGGGGGCGTTTTTCCGGGGGGGGCGGGGGGGGGG